GGGGGGGGGGGGGGTTGAAAGTGGCCTCCTGATCCTTCCCTTTGAGGAGCTCCCGTGAAGCTACAAGCACCACTTACTGTTGGGCGGCCCTGAAGGTCACCCATGGGTCACAAGCGCGGGAGCAGGAGTCCCGAGGAGCCACCGGAGTGTCGGGCACGCGACCCCCTCCCGCCCCCAGTTGCCCCGTGTCGGTGCAGAGCACGGGCTTCTGCGCACAGGCCTCGTCGAGAACACCAGCCCCGCTTGACGTCCTTGGAGGAATCCCCACAATCTCTGAAGGTTGACAGTTATGCCACTTGGAAAGGAAGATAAACAATTCACCATCAATTTTGTGTTTTTTCTACTAAGACTGAAAACGAGCAAGACTGAGGTGGGAAAAAAATCACCTTTTTGCCTTTTACCTCGACACATTTGCTAACACGGTGACGCCCCGTCACACCGGCTCCCTTCGGAATGAAACCGTTAAGCCCGGAGGGAAAAACCACACATGCGCCAGCTCCCCGGGGACCCAGGTGTCCTTACAGTAGCTCCCGTCCCACAGACACAAGGATGCTCATCGGGCGCCCGCGGGTGCGTCTGCTCTCCCGCCACCGCCGCCGTGAATATAATATTCGAGTGAATCTCATTTTTAGGATGAAGTTCAACAGCGCAAACCCAGTATGTACAGCGGTTTTCTGGCCAAATCTGAAATGACACCTAGGAAACGAGTCGTTTATTTTTGTTTGTGACTCCGGTTTACAAACGGCTCTCCCGTCCTTTGCAGAAAGAGTCCCCGAGGAATTTATGTTTTTGTGTTGCTTTTGTCAATCCAAACTATTTTTTGGAAAGATGGAGTGCAGAGATGCTTTGTCAGAGGTCGGTCCTGGTAGAACAGGGACAGCTTTCCCCAGGTGACTCTTCAGGGCAGAAAGCACGCGGTGTCGTCCTGTCACACAAGTAACACTCCCTCGCCTCCCGTGTTCTCACGGCTCAGGGAGCCGTGGCTCGAGCTTCCCTGGGGTCCTCGCCGTAGAGGACACCGCGGGAGATGGCGTCTGACGCGCTTCTGTATTTTGCAGAAGCACGGTCCATCCGGTGTCCCCTCCCCTGCTCTGCACCCAGGAAGACAAGGCAGCAGAAGAGTCTCCCCTCCGCATTCTGGCCGAAACCCCGGATTCCTTTGAAAAGCACATCAGAAGCATTTTGCAGCGCAGCGTTGCGAACCCGGCGTTTCTGAAGTACGGGATTTGGGGCGTGTGGGTCTGGGGAACGGGTCCCGCCCGTTTTCATACTCGCCGTGTGTCGCGTCGTCAGTCCGCCGTCTCGTGCGGCACCGTTCGGCACCGTTCCGCGTGGGCGGGTGGGGGAGGGGCGAGGGGCCGGGGAAGGCCGGGAAGGCCGGAAAGGAGGGACGGCGCCGCCCTGGCCTGAGCCCTGCGCGGAAACCCCCGCTGACAGGTCATGTGACAGAGACGCGGCCCCTCCGCCGGGAGACAGCCTGCAGCTCCTCAGCCGGGCCACGCAGGTGTTCCGGGAGCAGTACGTCCTCAAGCAGGACCTGGCCAAGGAGGAGATCCAGCGCAGGTAGGGTGGCGGCGCGGGGCCCCTGGCGGGTCGCGGCCTCGGCCTGGCCTCCGATCGCACCTCGCTTCTCTCGTTCTCGAAGGGTCAGGCTATTGTGTGACCAGAAGAAGAAACAGCTGGGAGACCTGAGTTACTGCCGGGAGGAGAGGTGAGCGCCGCGGGGGATGCGGGAGCGTGGCTGACACGCGCGACCGCGCGCCGGCTTCCCCGTCGGGGTGGACCCCAGAACCCTTGGTTTTCTGCCCTTAGGAAAAGCCTCCGGGAGATGGCGGAGCGCTTGGCCGACAAGTACGAGGAGGCCAAGGAGAAACAGGAGGATCTCACGAACAGGTCGGCGGGTGGCGCCGTCTGGGCCCCCCTGTGGTGACTAAGCGCGCGCCCGATCGGG